GCAAATGAGGTTGGTGACTATTGGGTATAGTGCCTTCTGGAATTGTAGAAATTTCTATGTTCTGAACCCCTGGGTTAGGAATGCTTGGAGTGTTTATGGGACTAGGGCTTTAGTATGTTTTAACTAAGGCATGGGGAAGCAAACTACATCTACATTAACTCTACCTTCCCATCATTTCTCTATGCACTGATGGACTGGGGTATTTCCAGGGAATGATAGGAATTCCGTAACCTCCGTTTATTCCACGAATATGTTTTACGCTAATGGCGTATGATTATAGTGTCTTTGTATTAATTCTGCCAAGCAGACGAATCCATTTTGGATGAATCTAACCTAACGTAATATTCACTGGTACCATATATGTATACCAGAAAAAGACAAAGTCAATATTGTACCGTTAAATAGGTATTCTTTGAATTAAAGAAAATAATTGAAAAATATTAAGAGGATATATTAATTATACGGTTATGGGCGAAAAAAAGAGAACTCGTGTCGAATATATATACATATATATATATATATATATATATAATAAATATAGAATATCATTTTTCGGGAAAAATAAATTGTTATATTATTTTATATAATGTGTATATGGATATATTTTTGCATCTTCACGATACTAGTCGAACGAACCCATTGAAACAAATTTTGTAATCTCTACTGGTCAATGCTACTTACCTTCATGCTTCGATCTTGCAAGGTAACGCGAAATTCACGTAAAATTTGTAATGATCAGGTATTAACCTAATATATATATGTATATATATATATATATATGTATATATATATTTATATGTATGGTTGAAAAGGTATCCGTTTTTACTCTTCTTATGGGTGATGCCTATAGACGAGTGTGAGGTAGCATCTGCCTTGGACGGGTTTTATACTTTCGCGAGGGTCTGCTGCTCATCCTCCATTCTCCGATATGTAACATCGCGAGCAAGGATGTTACGTCATAGTCACGCAGCACGTGGACGGTGGACGTGGACACCTTCGAAAGATATGTGAAACAATCACGATGACCTTTTTTCAATCGATCAAGGTGATCCTTAAGGCATAGTTTCGGTAGTCTGATCTAGATAACGTAGGATATATTATTGTATTTTTTCATACCATTTTTTGGTATTTAAATCTTTTCAAAAATAGAAAAATTGGTCGTTCGGAATATTGGGGAATATTGACTGATACGAGAACATTTTTAAAATAAGTGTACAAATTTTGTTAGATTTCAAAATAGTCCTTTGGATGATGTATGTATGAGTTTCTTGGAACGCTATCTTCATTTACTCCTGCTTTATATAGCAGAAATTTCCTCATCGTTACCGTTCACCTTAATCAAATTTCAATCTAGGAATCTACTTGGAGTTTGCAGGCTCTTCCTTTTTTTAAGCTTACGGCAGACAACGCCGATGGAAGCTCAGGATCGACGCTGGGCGTCGTGACGCGAATAATCCTCGGCTTCGATAACCGTGTCAAGAGCGTCAGGGCGTTTCACCACGACCAGATGTTTCTTGGCTTTAAATCATCCAGTTTATGTGGCCCTGTGCTAAAATGTGTTAAATTTAAATAATGAACGAAAAATTGATCCAATTAATCAATCGAGTCAATTAAATATTTTATAACGACCAATCATAGTCTAATTGCATCTAATTCAGTTAATAAAGGGATATCGAGATGGATTTGGATTTTATATAAAAGAAGAACTGGGAAAGGCCAAGATTTTCATCAGGATTGTTTACTGTTAGCCGAGTCCATTAAAGTAATTGGTATTTTGCGATAAAAAAAGAAAAAAAAAGAATGATAAAATGTTATGAAAATATACTGTGGTCAGGTTTGGTACTGTAATGGCATAGTGGTATGGCGCTGGATTAAGATCTTAGGTGGATGATAGTACGGCACAAGCATACCGTACACTGTATATAGTGTCATGTATACTACAAAGCAAAACATAGCTAAGGGAAACAGTGGACCCAGGAGGTATTACCTTGGTGTACCGGCAACAACGTATAATCCCGGGCTAGTGGCGAGCTAGCGTTGCAATAATAAATGAATACTGGCGAGTCCTGGTAGTAACCACATAGTATTCTGAGAGTTATTAGAACTTTGTGTCTATCCACTATAACTGTATAGAGAAGACCTATTCAATAATATATGTATATACAAAATATCATACCAATTCATGGATAACTTTTGTAAAGTCTTGAATATTCATGTAGTTGGACTTGGGTTATGATTTCAGTTGGTACTGATTGCATCGAAATATAACTTGGCGATTTTTGTTATATTGGAAAATAGGTACGATAAAAAAAGTTGGATGTATTTAAAAAATCTTTTTTTTTCAAAATTTTTCGTTGGTATGATTCGTATGGTCATTTTGTACTCATTTGTTGAGCGGGAGTATGTATGTATATAGTAATAGCGTGTATAAAGACTTAATTAAGTTTAATTAAGTCTGGGCACTGGTGGTGCACTCTGTCGAGCGAAGCTGGTATGAACACAGTCAAAGAAAAATATGTATGCATGGTACAAAGAAAGTCGGGACGAGGGAGGAGAGAACGCGCTCGCACATGGTCGCCAAGAGATCGCGCTTTTAATCACGCATTCACCTTGGGATGGAAACTTTTAATTATGCCGCGAGTTCTTGCTGGGGTGGTCTCTGTATCGTACCCTTGCTTTGCTGCGAAGTGGTGGAGGGTTGGAGGTAGTTCACAGCCTCCCAGAGTCATAGGGCATGAAAAAGCCAAAGCCCAAGTCAAAGAGGGTTAAAGCTTAGCCGACGATTTTTCGCGCTGCCTACGAGATATCAAAAAGAAAAAGCCAACCTCCGATCCCCTTACTCCAACCCTTCAACCTTCTTTAGCGAATATTCTCTCTCTTTTTCTCATTGCTGAACTCGAAAATTCTTTTCACTTGATACATCCTACATGCTGCTGATGTCAAACCGAATTTTTTTACTTTGTAATTTGTGCTTGTACATTTTATTGAGCCTTCGGGCGAAAAGAGAAATTGATTTTGTTTCGTAGAGAACTGTATTGGTGGGAAAAATAAATACTGATGGAATTTGAATTTCTTAGGGTGGCGTAATTTTTGAATTCGATTTTGTAGCCGCTAATCATTCGCCGTGAACGTTCAAAGAATTAGTCTCAAAGGTATTTGAATTGACTCGAGCCTTTGGTCATTTTCGATTTTTAATTCCTTTGAATTGCCTTTTGCTACAGTGCTTACAACCTTCGAGATTGCTTTTTTAGCGATTTTTCTTTAATTTTTGTTTTTCCTGCAATTTTCTCCGAGACGCTCAAAGAACTCGGAATTCATTGAAGAACAATTTTTCAAATGACTTCCGATTAAAAGGTAATCTCCAAAAGCTCTGATCCCATAAGTCGCTAATATTACCAGCGATTAGCAAATCAATTGAAATCATTTAATTACCCATATCGATCGATTGATCGTAATTGAAAAAAAAACCTTGACTATCTCTATTAATGATAAAACTCTGTCCTATAATCTTTATCAAATATCTACATTCTTTCTTCATACATATTTAATCCTTTTCCATACGCAAATAAAAGTTCCTTTCACGCGAATCCATTTATCCTTACAATTCGTAAAAGTAGGTTAACCGATGATAGAAAAGCTACAGGCACACTAGCGCCAGAATCTCAACTAGCGTTCATAACTCGAATTGACAGATTATCAAAAAAGTGTCTATCGAGCGTTATAGAATAAAACTTATATATTTAATTACCAAGAATATATCTCCTCCGCGATATACCAACTTGATAACATCATTATTATAAACTAATTTCACAATACGAATATTTAAACTCTAACTGAAAGTTGCATACAGCGCCACAATCATAACTAGCGCTTCAATCCAGAACTAACGAACCATATAGAATCGACTAAAGGACTACATCACAGTTATAATGCGAATTATTACAAAATCTTACGCAATCATAGGAATATCTATCAGCAACCAGTGAATAGTATCATAACCATAAAACGCCTTGAGTCATATTCCACGTATCAGGAGCCTCTGGCGCTTCTCCAATTTCACATTTCGTTCGAATGGAGAATGTCTACCATTAACACGTATGCACCTATGTATAAATACCGATCTACAACGTCACGTTCACGTAACATTAATACCAGCTGAGATCCTAGAAAGAACTCAGAAAGCAGACATCACTATTCCGTCACTCTGCCTTTTCTACGTCTACTGCCTTCTTCTTTGTCCTTCTCTATTACTTCTATTTATACCTCTTGCCCGCCAGGTCGAGCTTCGCTCGCGCGCTGCTCTTTTCTTTGACGGGTATTCATCGACAGAGGAGCTGCCTTTCTATCTAGATTCTTTTTATTTAGCAGACGGATTCCCGCTCTGACCTAAGTATTTCACTGGAGTTACGGACGGACGTGAATTGTTCGATTTAACGTATCTGAATTTTCATATTGATCGTCGAAGCATTTTTCTTAACCTCCCATCTAGCCGTCTGATGTCGGAATCGAACAGTCGGATAAAATAGTCTGATCAGGTACGCCCATCACTTTCTTTATTGTTCCCAAGCGATTATTAAAATGTATTTTTATCATCCGATACTGCATATTCGACAGAATTTAATGTCCGATTCATTCGCAATTTCTGATGTCTTCTTGCATATAACCAAATATAGGGCTATCATTATGTGCACTTAACCTTTATGTACTTGAGGTGAAGAACATCTTCTTTTTTTCGTTATTCGAGGCGAAAGTGCTGAAAAACTGCAAGATGCCACTTTCGTGATTGCTTAATCTATTTTTTTCTCACGGGGAGTCAATTTTATCTTTCGTAATTGGTCCTTCGATTAGTCGAGTATCCGTAACATCTTTATCCTTTTATGGCAAAGAAGGTCAAGGGTCACAGGTTATGGTAGTAAGTGTATAGTATTACAGTAATTTTTTTATCATTTTGATCAAGATAACGATTATATTGTACCTATTATAAATTTAGTTGTGATTCGGATTAAAATTGTTCAATAAAAATATCTTAATTAGGTAGATATTGCGCAATCGGTAAATTATCCAATAATTAATTATCAATAACCTCGGTCGAGATCATCATGGAAAATATCATTTGATTCAGCTGTCGCTCGATGACGTTTGTGAGAGAATAAAAATATATCCCAGTAGCCCCATGATTACCTGAAATAGATCGTCATAGATCGTCAAATAGATCGTCATAGTCAAAATTAGTCATTTTGGATAATCGAGTTAACTGGTGATCAACATCTTGACCTAATGACCCCAACGTATTCATATACAGCCTTTCTACACGCTTTCAATGGGATACGAACGTTAATAGGTACACGTATTACAAATGAGTTTCTAAAGGCATTCTGTGCTGGTCCCTATTGACTGACTTCGTACCATATGTTGGTACATGCTTTTGGATGCTGCTAGTTAATTTTAATGAACCCTCACGGATCATTCCGAGCAAGAGTAATTAATCATCCAAAATCATTTCTTAATTAGAAAAAAAAGTTTTTGTTTCAAAAATACTTACCACCCCAAAAAATGGATAATCGATTACGAACATGTGAAAGAGGTAAAACTTGACATTGTCATTTGTCATTATTGGATGTGATGATTGAATCTGAAATAAAAAAATTATTTTAATTTTTTTTATTATTAAAATAATCTTGTTTGACAAACCTCTCGAAATTCGTGGCGGTGCGTCAACAAGTCACGTATCAGTTCGGATTCCTTTTTCACGTTGTGACAAGCGCTTGTTATGTATATCAATAATCCAATTTCGAAAATTGACCAAATTATTGACAAAATAATATCCACCAGATGATTGACGTCGTTATAATTTTTCGTGATGATATTTAAATGTCCACATGTGCGCATGAGTATTACCATTATGCTTATTAATAATTGAAATCGATAAGTGTCATTTATGTCACGTGAGATGGCATTCAGGTCGCTGTGTAATCTTCGAAATTGAAGAGCCCTGGAAGCTGTCAAATTAAAGATGATTGGCAGTCAGTGCTTGACTTATTTGAAATTTTTAACAGTAATTGGCCTAGCTCAATAATTAATTTATTTTTATGTTCGTTCATGAATATTGAAAAATCAACGTGGAAAATATTACAAATTTTGTATTCAGCTTGCGAAAACTACGTCTCATCCCTTTACGGAGACTTTTTGCCAATGGTTGACGTAGACAGGAGTGAAAGGGAAACCGAAAACGTGTGACACCAGGAACAGGACAAAGATCAAAACTTTCTTCTCCGCAAAGTATTTTTCGATTGCTATTATATTTCCATTTCTATCGCTTTCTTAACTTTTTTTATCGGTTTTTCCATTTTCACTTTTTTTTTGCGTCCATCTTTTATCGGAATATGTCCGTGGAATTTGACACGGGAATGCGTGCCGTGAAAAGTTTTTAAGTTTTCAATTTTTAATAAGAAAATTTTACTCTAGGGAAATATTTATCAATTGCCACAGTCAGGAACTTTTTTTATTTCGGATATTCGATTACTCACATTATACCGTTTCAGCTTTTTCGTAATATTTTGTAATTTTATAGATTGAAGAGTAAGAAATTACAAAATATTCTAAGTCCGTGGATAAAACTCGTTATATATTCACGATGACTTTTTATATATTTGTGCACAAGTATAATATGATAAGAAAGTGTTTTCTAACACATCACGGACAGTTTTCAACAAACATTATTTATTGTTAACAATGATTCATAAGTGATTGACTTATGGTTTGTGTGAGCATATATCAGTTATATTAAATTCTAAAAAATTCTATTTAAAAAAGATCGTCGATTTAGTTCGTAAGTTAAAAAGTAATTGAAAAGCTTTTCAAAAATTTTCAAATTATAATAAAACTGTTCAAAAAAATGTCACTCTTTAACTATCATTTAATTGATGAGAATTAATACACAGATGTGCTTACCAACATCGAGGCGTGAAACGGCTCCGACTTTGGCATTCTCCCCCGGCATGTAAATGAGATCATTTAATTTTGCGAATCTGTCGCGAATTTTCGCCAGCAGAGTAACAAAAGCGGACGAAACAATGGCGTCGACGATTCTAGGGACGAAATTAACGATCCACAGTAAAACGAACGTGCGGCTGACATTGGCATTTCTCAATCCGTGATAGTCGGCGGCGCTGATAATGCTTGTTATAAATAACAGAGTCGTTACGTGAATAACTTCTCGTCGAAAATTTCCAAAATAATCAAAGTGACCATTGAGATATGAGAATTGTTGATCAACTTTGATGATCTCGTCGAAAATACGATCAATTCTGCGAGCCATGGTGACGCCAATAATAATGACTATCGGTACGAAAATGAGGTTGAAGTTGGTATCGAAATTTCGAAATTTCGAGGACACTGAGTAAACTGAAAAATTTTCAAAAAAATTCTCAGCGTATTCTGCGACATATACAAACAAGACGACGTAAGCCGTAATTAAAATGAAGATATACAAAAATCCAGGAATTTTCTTGAAATATCCCACAGGACGGAGACCTGAACAAAAGAAGTTTCTTATGCTAATTTTTTTGATTTCAAAATTTTTTAATTACATACCCAACACTCCTTTTAGTAAAAATATTATGTAACTCTCTTCACGTACGTTCAAAGGTCGAAGGATACTCATGATTATTTGCCGAGCTACTGAGATCATTCGCTGCCCGACAAAATGTCACATAGTCCAATAGCGTGAAAGTTTCTAATTATTATTAATACCACGGAAATAGGCTTGTCACACGTGACAAGCAAAGCGCGTGACGGGATTTGTATAAAATATTAAGCGACTCTGTCCAGTTGCACTAATAGTTGTAAATTGATGATAAAGAATGCACGAAAAGTTTATCGATTATTTCATTAGTCTGACATTGATAAATTTATTGAGCTTACGGAAATAATTTGTTTAACAGAATAAAACTGCTTTTAGTTCATAAAAAAAAGGAAACACAAAATGTTGTTTCGTTTTTCGGGCTATTAATATTTTTTAAAACAATTTTTATCATTTGCCAAAAATAGTAAAACTGTAACACACGAATAAAAATGAGAGTCGTTTGATTAGTTCTGACAATATAAACTTTAACCATAGGCTGATTCAGTTGCCGCGGAAATAAATATATATGTATAACTGTTTCCGTGGGGATATGATAAGACCTCAGCATTAATTTAAAGTTACGTGAATTCCCATACTATTATTAAGATGAAATTTGTAATGGTCTTTCGAAAACTAATCAAAATTCAATAATACATTTTCTGCCTATCGTACTTAATACGTGGTTGGGTTAGCTTTGTTTTTGGAAAACAATGGTAAGTCGATATATTCGATTTATCTCGTAGAAGTAAACAATGGCGACGTCTCAACTTTCTTACTATGTTTTTTGTTTATTCAGTTATCAATAAAGAAATACAGTTGCAATAGTCCACGTCTGTTAGTTTCTTAACTCATAGCTGCAGTTATAGTCGTCATACTTCTTAAATCGGGCATTGTAGTACGTTAAGATCGCCAATCGTAGCAGGAGCTGGTATTGCACGTGATCCCCGTACCAATGACTTATTTAATTTGACAAAGTGGAGGAAACGTTCAGTTTTGACAGAACTAAATTCAAAACTAAATTCAAAACTCTGAGTTTTGCATGACTAGAGTCTAAATTTAAACTGTAAAGGATTCTGTACAGAGGACTCATTTACGTTAAAAGTTACAAGAAGATGGCCACTTCGAAAACTATTTTACTCGTGAACAGACTCATATCTCCTATTGCCTTTAAAACTTAGGGATATTTATCATACAAGGAATATTTTGAAAATGTCTTTTGCCATTTGCTAGATGCAAATTTCAGTTTTCTTATAAGTTGCGTTTCTGCTTTATCATATATAAATGTTGAAGAATAATACCGTATTTCTTATCTGCTTTTATTTTCATTTTTTGCCTTTAAATCTATTTTTTCGATTTGCTCAATCTCCTTAATTAAATTAATTCAAATTTTAAGATTGTTAAGAATGGAATATTGAAACATCGAAAATTATTTCCCTTGAGCCTAAAGGCATTTCACTTGAGCAGTCGACCCTTCAAGTTTGCGTCGCAGCAACGCCTCGGAAATTTTGCCTAAAATTGTATTTTGAATTCTTAATCAAAAAATATATATATATATATATATATATCGTAAAGTGATTATCAGTTTTTCTCAGAGATATCTCGGACAAAGAAATTATATAAAACTTATTGTTTTTCTTAAGTTTTATAATGCTATTAAAAATTGTGTTAACATTGAAAATGATGTATGACAATATTTGAGATATTTTATTTTTCATAGATCTGCCATTACATTTCCCTCCTTTAACCGTTTGAGTGGCAGAGGTCATTGCAAAAATCCTATCGAATTGTGCCACGCAGCGCGATAACGCTTGTTTAATGTAATCTCGAAAAATATAGTGGTACGTTTCGATATAAAATGTGAGCAGCGCGATCGCGCTGTGTGGCACTTAAACTATTAATATGACATGACCATAGGAAGATTATCTCAGCAACAAACATTGCCGTCTGGGACAAAGGATAAATAAATCGTAACTATCGCAGAATTGGAGATTTTCGTAGGTAATATTACATAACCTAACCTATATCGTAATACGTAGCAGCAGTGCAATCGTTTGGGGCAATTAAATTCGAAGCACTGAGATCTAACGGTGTACAGATGTCGCCCTGGGTCTGCCAATGCATCAATAACATTACAACAGTGTAACATTAGCATCACGTAACAAGCCAAGGCTTTATTATAATAATCCCATTGTCCTGTAAAATTAGTATTCATAATGGAGCACAGGAGGTATTAATTTAACGGGCGCACTCTGGCGGAATTAATAAAACGATGGATGGCTTATTGGCCGAAACCAGTGAACAACGTTTCGCCTTCCTATGCAGAGATGTCAGCAGTGTAGCATTGTCGCTTGGGTAGCGGAGGATGGAAAGACGTGCTTCAACCGGTTTCCATCGTACTACAGTGAGTTAAGTGTATGATCCTCCAGGATTACTGCCCAGGGACCATTTTGTATTTTTAGTAAGAGTATTTTGCATTAAGCAGTAAGAACCTCTATAGGATCGCTTGAGCATCTCTTTGAAATTTTCCACGACTCGACTATTTTTCTGTTACACTATTGTATATGTCATTCCGATGATCTCTGAAGGACTTGACATTTGTCAAGATTCACAAATTTTTTAATTCGCATTTAGGTTTCTGACTCGATTTTTTTTTAGTATCTATAACCCTCGCCACTGGTAGATCCTGGTCCTGATCCTGATCCTGATCCTAATCCTGGTCCTGATCCTGTTCCTAATCCCGAGGTTCCTGGTGCTGGATACGTAGCGGTTCCTTCATAGCGTACCATAGGGCGATATCCACCTCCGTCTGCTACATAATCAACTATCTGGGTCCTTCCGTCTGGCAGTAACACGTGATAACTTCCTGTGGCCTCGTCGTCCTTACGCATTTCCCGATGTCCAAAGTCCAGTCCTGCAGCGGAGTCTTGGACCTCATAAGAGAACTCGTAATTTGCCGGGTCCTGAATACAATGGATAGTGACGCTTTGAAACTGGGTCTAGGAATATTTTATAGATCGTTGGTTATGCATTGCAGACGTACCCCTGCCCATTCGTCTGGATGACCTCCACCACTTGTACCACCTCCAGTTGGACGCGACCCGGTACCACCGCTTGGTGGTAGATATGCTGGTCCTTGAGGCACGCTTTGAATTCCTGCGAGCATCATCGCCAAGACTAAAACCTATTGGTAGAATTCAAAGTTATTACTAGAGTTAAAAATTGTTACTAGAATTGCGTAATATAGTAGTGATTATTTTATTTAGTAATTTTTGTGCCGTGACATTTTTTAAAATTTTTGCATTTTTTTAACTATCCATCGAACATCAGGAATTAATCCAGACATTCCGACGTCCACTAAATCCCCTAGACTGCAAAGGAAATCGCTTTAAGCCTCTACGGTGAAATGAGCTTAATGGTCGCGCGAAACAAAATAACCTCGACTTTTCTTCTATAGCAAATTCACAGAGTTACTCCCGAGAAGTATTGCATTATTCAGTGAGTCTTAGCCCGGTACCCGAATTGAAGTAGACATTTAAATAGTCACTAGGGATGCATCGACACCCACTCGTCTATGCAGATGACTCGGCCGATCCTCGAAGTGAGCAGTTGCAAATTATTTGAGCAATTCACCTAGCTGAATCTGGTAAAACGTGAAGTGGGCTTCAGGGTGGAATTAAGTGAGATCCAAAGGCGTAACAGGGATCGCAATATACGAAGGGGGTAGCTTTAGTTTCGTAATAAGTAAGAACAGTCAAATAAGGTCGAAAAATATTACGTGCACAAAATTTTTAATTTTCGCACAAATTTCACATATAAACGACATTAAAATTTGACAAATTCCTAATAAGTAAGTTTACTATACCACTTTTAAGAATCTATTTTAAAATTTAAAAAATTTATTTATATAGTAACATAGAAAAATGTTGTTTGGAAATTTGGTAAGTCATTTTTGAAATATTTGGAATCCGTTTTTTTGAATTTTTTGGAATTTTAACCAAGTGTGACGTCATTGTCTAATTCTCTATTTGATTATATATATATCTGTACTAACCTTGAACATCATGAGTGAACCACGTGTCTCCAGACTGTATACGAAACTGAGATAAACTGCTGTTGCTACTACGTGCTTATATACCCGTCAAGAAATCGCAACAGCGTCTCGCGCGCAAAGTCCCCCATTATTTGACGGGACACAGAGATGCGAATGCATAACTATAATTACATTTAGTAATAAAACCGCAGATCTGTGACGGAATCATCTCCGTGCTCGATTCTCTCGTGAGGTCGTCTTCCGCCTCCTTGGTGAAACTCCCTAGGAGAGGAGGGTCGTACGGAGAGGAAAAAAATTCACGTGACGTTAATAAGGACGATAGCTAAGAGATGGCGCTGTTGAGGTTTATATAGGGAATAAATGCACTTGCAAAATATGTGTGGAGACAGTTGTTGTTTTGAAACAAGGCTTTTATATATTTGTGATAATGATTTATAAACATTTTATATGGAGAGATAAAAGGTTGATTATGAGATATGACGATTGAACACGATTATGGCTGGTTAAGGAATAAATAAGAATCTAGTGATTTTTATTCTCATACTTGTAGAGGAATTATTTGTTTTTTTTTTGTTTCCTTTATGCTTTTTTTGACGTGTATTGTCTAGTGATTAGGATATTTGTCTCTAGATGGCATCACGAGGAACGCATCAGTTTATATTACTAGGGAAAAATAATGGCGAAAACGATATCTTGGATTCTAGAGTAAGATATAGAATCACGAAGACTAATTCGTACTCGGTCATTTGTGATATACTATTATACAGGCGTGATTGAGATTTATTATTTAGCTATGCGATCAGTATTGATATCCGCCATTGGCTTCTGCGTCTCCACCATTGCCAGATGGATAGCCGCCATTACTAGCGCCATTGCCACCTCCGAATCCTGGGGAATTTGAACCGCCCGATGGATATCCACCAGATGCCCCATTTCCGCTGTTTCCAAATCCATTTCCGCTGTTGCCACCATTTCCAAATCCACCTGGACCACCCGATGGATATCCTAAATTGATAAATAAAGTTTTGTCAGGTAAAATAAAACTGTGGATTAGTATTCTATCCTTATACAATTTTTCTCACCATTTCCACCGCCATTACCGCCGCCATTGCCACTTGATCCACCTCCACCATTTCTGCCAGCACCATTTCTACCACCGGAAGGATAACCCCCATTGCCGCCTCCATTGCCTGACCCAAAACCACCACCATTTCCCCCAAACCCATTGTTCCCACCTGGACCACCGGATGAGTAACCTGAAATGAAACATTGTTATAATAATATTTCAAAATATTTAGTTTTTGCAAAATTTGTTTCTGTACCATTTCCGTTTCCACCGTTACCTCCACCACCGGAAGGATATCCTCCATTTCCTCCACCTCCTGAGGGGTATCCGCCGTCGCCATTTCCACCACCCGAAGAATATCCTTGGTCGCCACCTCCAGATGAATAACCGTTACTGTCCCCTCCATTTCCACCTGGTCCACCTGAACTGTATCCACCATTTCCAGCTTCACCCTCATAGCGAATTTGTGGCTTGAATCCCTCTTGATCTGCTTCATATTCCACAATCTGTTTACGACCATCCGGAAGCAGTACGTTAAATTCACCCTGAGCACGATCACCATCGCGAGTTTCAGTATGGCCGAAATCGGTGCCTGATTCGTCATCCTTCACCTCATAGGAGAATTCGTATTTTGCAGGTTCCTAAAGGTTAATGTACTTATTTTGAACTTGAACTTATTTTGAGTTTATGAGAACTTTGAAAATTTATAAACATTGGTATTTATTGCAATAATGGACTATGATGAACGGATCATGTTGGCTGGACTTATAGAATTTTTATTGTTGAAATTATCGTACTTACGTCATTTCCCTCGTCAGCATTGCTTCCATAACCACTTCCTCCGCCATTGCCGCCAACTCCACCGTTCCCGTTGAATCCTCCGTTATCTCCTGGCCCCCCCGAAGAATATCCTCCGTTTCCTCCAGCACCTCTGCCACCTCCATTTCCATTAGCTCCAGGAGCGCCGTATGTACTTGATGGTTGCGAACCTCCAAAGGAGCCACCTCCGTTCGAAGAACCTCCGAAACCATTTCCATTTGCGCCTGGTGGCCCGTACGAAGACGATGGTCTACCGCCTGCACCTCCAGAACCGCCGAAACCTCCTCCGCCTCCAGAGCCGAAGCCGCCATCACCGTTTCCAGAAGCTGGTGGTCCATACGATGAGGATGGTCTTCCTCCTGTACTACCAGCATTTCCACCGAAGCCTCCGTTGCCACCTCCATTGTCACCTCCATTGCCACCGCCAGGGACGCCATAGTTGCTGGATGGTCGACCTCCAGGGCCTGCACCAAATCCGCCTCCGTTTCCACCGCCATTTTTGCCAACGTTACCTCCTTCTGGTGCTCCATAGCTACTAGAAGGTCTTGAGCCACCTCCGTTTCTACCACCGTTTCCACCTCCAATTCCGCCACCATTGCCACCTCCAGGAGCACCATAAGAATTGGAAGGTCTTCCACTGCCTCCATTTCCACTAGGTGGACCATAGCTGCTCGAAGGTCGCGAACTTCCACCAATGCCATTTCCTCGGCCACCTCCATTACCTCCATTACCTCCATTACCTCCATTGCCGTTACCTCCAAAGCCACCCCCGTTTCCAGGTCCGCCACCAGGAGCTCCATAACTACTAGACGGTCTGCTTCCTCCAGATCCTCCACCTCTTCCAAAACCCCCGTTCCCACCTCCAGGAGTTCCATAACTGTCAGATGGTTTTCCAGCACCATTGCCACCTCCATTAAATCCACCCCCGTCGTTGCCACCACCACCACCACCACCGAAACCAGGCGTTCCATATTGCGACGAAGGTCCACCTGCACTCGATGATCTGCTACCAGATCCAGCGGAACCACCAAACCCAGGTGGTCCATACTGATTCGACGGTCCACCACCACCACCACCACCGCCACCACCACCGCCACCACCACCAGGACCACCCCTGCCTGGCGGCAGATACGAGTTAACCGGAGGTTCCGGTCTGGCCAAAGCCAAAGCCACAAGGCTCGTCGTCAATGCAAACTGCAAATAAAAAACCAATTAAATTTACAAAAATTCTCAATACGAAGATTATCATCAGACGTTCAAAAATAACCCAACACTAATAACAAAGAAAAATCTGATACTCCAATTACCTTCCACATGATGAACCCTTCTTGATTCAGACAAAAAATTCAAAAGAGACTTCTCCCCCGCACGGAAATTTCCAGGTCCTTGGAACCCTTAACGACGTGACTCTTTCCTACTAACTTTCTTATCTTTTCCCGTATATGCCTCCACCACTTGAGTGGTGCCGAGGGAATGACAATCTTAGGCCCACTTAATCCGCTTTATATACCATACAACATCAGAGCGCATCCTTACCAGGGTTACCACGAAGACCCGATTCCGTGATTCGCGATCCACGGATTTAGTGCAGTCCCATGAAAGATTTACACCGTTGAATCGTGAATGTATTAAATGCGCGCGCATCATTCTCTCTTGTAACATTACCTCTCTCTCTCTCTCTCCCGTACAGTCCACAAAATCTCTCCCTTTCTATCTTTCTTTCAATACATGATACTCTCTTTCCCAGTTGGCACTACCACAGCCCGTTATGTACGAGCGTCTTCATTCTGTAGTCGACGTCTCCGTCGAGGAAGACGAGGAGCAGGAATTGTAAGAGAGAAAAAATATTGACTAACAGATTCACTCACGTTGTCTCCGTCTAATGTATAACGTCTGAAGCTTAATAATACGAAGAAGCCTTCTGTACACCAACTCATCCTTTAAGCCGTGTTCTCAACATCGATGCGACAGTCGCACGATTTCCTGGATACGTTTTCCTTCATTTAATCAAGGTTCTTCTCTTGGTGGCGTGGAAACAATGAATCTCAGGGTGTGTTACGTGAAAGCGTTGAGATAACCTAATTAAGTTCTAGTTTTATATCGAGCTCCATTTATCTTGGTGATTTTCTGCTCTAGGATCTAGGGACATTGAGATGACACGAAAGAAAAAGAAGTACGAGGGGAGGAACGTTACGTCGATTAAACCGGAAGTACCACGGCTTCCTTGATTCTTTGATGGATATGTATTTTATAACCTTTTTTCAAGATAATAAAATGACGTTTCTCCTATTTCTCATCCCACACTTTCGTTAAATTGCAATAATTGTGACAGCGCTCTACTCTTCGGCTTGGTTGCGCTACGGTTGTCCTGGTGTGCATCGGGCTTTGCGAAATCAATAAACTCGTTCAGGATGTGCAGTCGGGGACAACGTTGGGAAACACGCGCTTGTACGCGTATTGCAACACGAGTCCTCCTTGTAATTGTACTTTCATTATACACTTGGGTGAATCAGTGCTGGGGTTAGATCCAAGTTGGAGAATCGATACCCGGAAATACTAAATCTGGAAGACAAGTTCATGATAAAGTTAAAAAAAATGACACGGGTGCTTATATAACATTATGAAAAAAACTATAAAATAAAATAAAATTGAATTCCCCATCAACTTTATAGCTGTCATGCCAATTACCTTCTATCCCAATTTTCCTCACAAAACCGATCACATCCGATCTCTGGGGAGAAAATAAAAATTTTGTAACTGATAAAGACTGATTAATTATCCCCTAAAACATGTAAAAGGATGACGTGCCGTTAAATGCGCTTCCGTTCATGTGCATCTCCCTATATGTCACATTCAAAATCATTAATCACATTATCATCGACGTTATGTCCCAGTAATTTGCGCGTGTTCGTCATCCTCCCTTCCCCTCGAAAAAAAAGTCCCTAGAACTATTTCTCAATTAATCCCCACTTGCAATTCAGGCTCTATCGCTGATTCGGTGGTCAATAATATTATGCATGTGCAATAATGACTTAGTGATTTCACAATTACCCATCTCCCTCGTTCCCACCTGTTTGCAATTTCTAACCTATCCTCTACAGTCTAACCTAACCTCCGCGAGCGCGGCAACCCTTCTTACATCATCCCTTCTGGAAGGATCAAGCAAAAGAAACGTGTTCTCGTGAGCCAGTTAGTCAATCCTCTTCAGCTGATCTAATTTAACGCGCCTACATCGATCTCCAGCTGTCTCGAGCATGCAGTTACGACATATATGTACAAATATATATGTATATAATATATATAAATGCATATATGAACATATACGGTATATATAACTGCACATAAGAATACTGCATCCCCGCATGCTGCTCGCTTGCAGATGCAATAAATACACGTTGCCGATCCTGCTAAATCCTCAAACGTTGTATGTACGTGCAGCTGAAGAGATGAAATCCTTTGTGTACAAATTTTATCGAGCACTCAGAAGTACTTAAATAATTTCAAGGATTCCAATTTTTACGTAAATACGTAAAATAACGAGAATGACATTTTTTCACGTTCTGATATTGCATGCGCCGTCACGCATATTTCTCCACCAGATTTCTATGGCGTCTTGTACTTTTTCTTCTTGTATTTTTCCACGTTTTTCGTCCTCCCGTCCATTCCACCGGATACAATACGTTAGCAAGGAGGAAATTTTAAAACGTTGGAGGGGTACGTCTTGTATAAGTATTATACACGGTGGGCAAATAACTATCGACACTTGTAATATTATCAGAAATTATTGGGCTTGGTGAAACATTTTCTTTAGCTAAAGGGCTGTATATTATATACGTACAAAGTATATACGTATATGGTGGATAGGCATAGTACGTTTAAAAAACTTGTTTGTTAATTTTTGTTTTTAAGGACAAATGTGTGGAACATGTTGAAGTGTCTTATGTAATTATTACTGGAAAAAAAGGTCGCGCGCGCGTGTTCTGTGCGTGTGTTGTGTGCGCGCGCGTGCGTGTATACGCATGGTCGAAAACGGCTGGATTGAAAAATTGAATCGAACCACTAACTTGGTAGATTTGAAAGCTTCATGAGAAATTAAATTACGTATTTAGATTCTACGATATTAATAATATCTGCAGATATTCAGTATTTTCGATTCAACAATTTTTCACAGTTATGAAATTAAATTTTTTCGCAACGGCGAATGCATAAGCTGGATCCTCATGATAAATCTGTTTGTCCGAATATATGCATAATTATTAAACACACTTATTAACCTCTTTCCTCTCAATCTAGTGGTTTGTGCGCTAATTTCATAACTTTCACACCATGTTTCGGACAAATGGCGACTACTGTCGTACTACTTCGGACCCAAGGAAGAATATTTTGAGGTTACTTTAGGTTCTGGATCGAGGCAGATTTTGGCCTAATTTATCGGGCCTCCTGTTGTATATTTCATCTTACTTATGGTGACTGCTTGTTTTATATAGGGGTATTATATTTTTGTTGTCATTATTAACTGGGGTGTCTTTAAGCCTAGGCTGTAATATTGAGGTATACTTATGTCACCCTATATAAAGTACTGAACATATATATCTAGTCGGCTACCTCTGAATTTCCATTTCCATTCGAGCGACGGTTCCTTAATGCATCGAATCCACGCTTCGTAGAATAGAAAGGGTAACAGTGGAAGTAGAAGTGATAAAGCTAGACGAGAGTTGACGATGGGAGCATTGCGGGTTACGATAGAAGATGCATAAAGTGTCCAGTCGGCAAGAGTAGATTTCCAGGTTATCGAGCGACCTATTGGATCCTTTGTGTTGAGACCCGGTCACGAAGAAAAAAAGTGAATATAACGTTTAAAACTTTATTGCATTTGTACTCTTATCGTAGTTGCGATTATTATTTTTAATTCAAAAATATTTTATCCTTTTAAATAAAAAATAAAATCTATGTACTTGGAGACTCGTTGAAGATTTTCGTTTGAGAACTTTTGAAATTCTATTTTACCGACCGGTCGAATCAATGCGGGTTGTAAAGAATCAATTTTCTGGAAATTTCAATTATTTATTAATACGAATTCCTACATATTCTTCATAAAATTTGTCATACAGGGCACTATAACCCCGTACAATATTTTAGTTATGTAGTATACGGAAACATGATATCGTCGCCTATATTTCTGGAAGTACACATACATATATATATTCTTGTGTAAAACTCTACGAGATATAAAATCACGGAATCGAAAGAAAGGAAGAAAATAAAGAAATAAGGAAAAACAATACTCCGCAGCCGGTTCTGCAATACGACGCACGTGTACGTCGAAATGTATTTGGCGCATTCTGATGAAACGAATCATTTTACCTTCAGTGATTCCACCATCATATCATTATATTATCGACAATCCATCTTAGATTTATCCTGTGAGAAGATACTGTTTTTTAAAATCATTTTTAAATACAAAAAAATTCCTGTGCCATAATACACGTCCCATCGGATCCTGATAGTTATTTACACGTTAATGACAATTTCGTAGAATGTTCACGAACAAATTATTTACTTGTGAAATATCTTTGTCCAATACGAATGAGCCTTTTTTAGAATTAGAGCCTGCAGAGAATTGTTGTTAGAGTCGGCAGAAAGTTTCTAAATATTACGCAATATCGACAAGCGACATAATTGATATATTTCAAATTTGTTTGTCGCAGACAATTAATTCCTAGGGACTTCTATTTATTTTTTATTCGCTCGACGACCCTGGAGAATTACACTACACAGTTATTTTTTAGTAGCGATTCATAGTCACGTGTTCTAGTCAACAGATGTCACTAGTTGTTACAAGAAAGTGACTTATACCCATAAGACGAAATATGAAATGGATTTGAGAATAAAGAAAAATAACACACACAAAAGAAGATAAGTCACTGTTAACGTCTGACTTGATAAACAAGACTTGGTAAGAAGACGTGATCCTTGTGTTCTGGCGTTATACAGGGTATCCCACGCAACTGGAACAGGCTGTACCTCCTAAACGGTTGGGAATAGAA